TATATATATATATATATAAATACTGCAGCTTAACCTGTATTTACACATCTCCAAAATTTCAGAGGCATCAGAAAGCATTAATAGTTTAGTTATTTTCTAGTGTTAATATGTTCAATTTCAGTTTTTGGTAGTGGGTTGAACCTTTTCCTTTAACCAGGGCTCAGTTGCCTGTCTGTTTCTCTATTAGCTCTCCTTTTTTTGACCCTAGACTTGCTTTAATTCTGAAAACTTTCCATGCAGATTTTTGGCTTCCTGGCGTTCATGTGCATCATCCTGGCAATAGGGAACTACTTGTGGGAGTTGAACGAAGGCTCAGAGTTCACAGTCTTCCTGCCCAGACAAGATGGCAATGATGCTGCGTTCTCTGCCTTCCTCACATTCTGGTCCTACGTCATCATCCTCAACACAGTGGTGCCCATTTCTCTCTATGTTAGGTAACAACGTGTGTGAAATTGTTATTTACTTTATAATATACAAAACATGGAGGTTCTAAAGGAACTTAATGACATCAAACATCTAATCAATCCAGTGCAAAAAAGTTAACAAAATGTAAATTATAACAATTATTAATTATCGGCTTCTTCTTAATTCCTACATCTATCATCAGTGTGGAATTCATTCGGCTGGGGAACAGCTTCTACATTGACTGGGACAGAAAAATGTACTACTCACGGAACAACACCCCTGCCGAGGCTCGTACCACCACGCTGAACGAGGAGCTCGGACAAATCAAGTATGTCTTCAGTGACAAAACAGGGACGCTCACCCAGAACATCATGACCTTCAACAAGTGCTCCATCAACGGAAAATCTTACGGTAAGATTCAACAAATGCTCATTTAGCTCTGAAGCTGTTTTGTATAATTATGTTGCTTTCTGGGTCCATGAATGCAATATATCTGAATGCATGCAAGTGAAGAGACAAGGAGTTTTGTTGGTTCTTCTAAGATCGAGTTAGAGGCAAGAAGGATTTTTTTCTTTCTCCATTTTTTTATTCGCACACTGTCCCTCACTTGTACTCACTTACTCACACTTACTCACAATAGGGCCTTGAGGAACATTAGATGAAACACTTTTTTAACAAATCAGTGCTGTATTACACAATGAAGCCCTGTGTTTCAAATACATACATGAAAACAGTAGTGGAAGTAATATAATACATAAAAGAGAAATGAATCCTAACAATAAAAAACAATGAGTATTTCATTTCTCATTATATGCTTCTTTCAAATTTCCTCCTTTTATAATAATAATAATAATAATAAATCTTTATTTATAAAGCACTCTCAAAATCCACATGACAAAACACATCTCATGCAACTGGTTTATTAGTGTTTTGGGGTCTACATTCAGCACTAATGAGTTCCCTCTATTATCTTTCTTCTTTTCAGGGGATGTGTTTGACTACACAGGTCAAAGACTAGAAATTAGTGAGGTGAGTTGGACCTGATGTGACCTAAATTCAGTCTTCTTACGGTTCTTACTATAAATGGCAAATTAGCCCATCTATTAGTTAAAAGGCTTAATTTCACTGAATTAAGGCAATTTAAGTCAATTTTGACGGCACGTTTCTCAAACTCGTTGTCACTCCTCCTCCTTGCCCTCCTCCTCGCTCTCTCTCAGCACACAGAGACGGTGGACTTCTCCTTCAACTCGCTGGCTGACCCAAGTTTCATGTTCCACGACCACGCTCTGGTGGAGGCGGTGAAGCTGGAGAACCCGGAGGTCCATGCCTTCTTCAGATTGCTGGCCCTCTGCCACACCGTCATGGCCGAAGAGAAAAAAGAAGGTCAGGGGGGATAAAGTGTTTCTTCTTTGACATTAAGAAGAGCAGAACATTTCATCAACCAATGGATTATTGCAACTCTCATTCCAGCAAAATTGCAAGTTTGGGAATTAATCAACTGCAGTTGTAATGTTACAGCATTTACTAGCTTTCTAAATGGTTGTCGCTTTACTTAACTAGAACTTAGAGAAGAATTCTTCTTCCTCCACTAAGAAATAAACAAACAAACAGACATTTTTGCTCCCTCAGGTGAGATTTTCTACCAGGCCCAGTCTCCGGATGAGGGAGCGTTGGTAACAGCAGCCAGAAATTTTGGATTTGTCTTCCGCTCACGTACACCAGAAAGCGTTTCCATTGTGGAAATGGGACAACAGCGCAGCTATGAACTCCTGGCCCTCCTGGATTTTAACAACGTCCGCAAGAGGATGTCTGTCATAGGTATATAATCTACTGAAAACAGATTGCTCGGAATACATTTACCTATTTAGTGTGATATTTAATAGACTGCAGAGCCAAACTGTGGTCAGATTTTTTCTTTGTTTGTTTTTGGGTGATAATTGAGTTTGCTGCCTTTTTCTTGATTTGAATATATAGAACACATATTTGTTCTCATGTATGTGTATGTGTGTGTGTTTGTGTGTGTGTTTGTTAATACAGTTCGGAGTCCAGAGGGGAAGCTCTCTCTCTACTGTAAAGGCGCAGACACAATCATCTATGAGAGGTTGCATCAGTCCTGCAGCAAGCTGATGGACGTCACTACAGAGCACCTTAATGTCAGTAATATATCAGTGATATTTGATTCTTAAACTTTATCTGAATCTTTCTTAGGCTTTTTCTGCATTCTTGCCTGTTGTTTGTCTCTGCATGCCTGTGTGTTGTGATCAGTCATCGTGTGTCAAGTGTGTTTGTGCGTTTAGGCATACAAAGTTTATCCTAATGCGCATGCACTCCATCCAGCTGTGAAAATAAAGTTGGATGAAGTCCTCATCCAAAAGCCTCTGGCTGCCTTGGAAGCATAAATGTTTGGACTTTATAACTATCATGATAATTATGAACCCTTAATTTGTGTAGCCAAATGAATTGTTCTAAATGATTGAGGCAATAGAACGAAAAGGAGGTTTGATATATGAAGATAATCCAGTTATAATACTAAAGTTAATAAAAATACATTTTAAGATAGCAATACACATTTCAACAGGCTGTTCCAAATTGGTACAAAAGCTCACAAACGAATGCTTGAACTTGACCGTGGAGTGTTTTGTAATGAGTAAAACTTTAAAATCAACTATTTTTGAAGCCAATGCAAACAAATGTGGGTTATGTGTGTGATAGCTCTTGTTTCTAAAGCTGTATTCTATATTTTTCTTATCAACAAATCCTATAATGAGACCAAAACCAATAATGTATTAGTCCGTCTCACAGCAATTTCTGACTTCCCTACCCTGGAAGTTTGTGACACTCAGCCTAAAGCACATTGATTCCTACTGAATAAATACATTTTTAAACACACGTTATATAGTTTCTGAAATATCACCAAGTGCAACATTGAGGCTAAATGGACAACAAAAGAGCTCTGTGGTACAGAGGAATAATCTGTATCTGGCTCTAGATGCACAGGCAAAACTAGTTTGCACTATCTATCATGTTCGTGTTATGCCCTTCCTTTCTGCTTCTTTTCTGAATTCTCATGCTGTTTTTTATCCATCTATTCCCTCTCCTCTCATCTCCCTTTATTTTTGTTCCTTCTCTTTTCAGCACATGTTGTAGAAAAGAGAAACAACTGATTATCTCCTAGTTGTCTGTTTGCCTTCACTCCTCTTGGAGTTTATTGCCTAGATTGCAACATTTACACAGCCGGGCACATTATTTATATCTTCAAATACCATCAGCTTGTGTGTGCGTTGGTTCTTCCAGGATGTGTTTGGTGTATTTATATGTGTGTATATGTGTATGTGCAGCATTCGTCCATATAATTATGTCCTTGCTGATCTGCAGGAGTTTGCAGGGGAGGGTCTAAGGACTCTGGCTTTGGCCTATAAGGATCTGGATGAGGAGTATTTCAACCAATGGCAACAGCGCCACCACGAGGCCAGCACCGATCTGGACGACCGAGAAAGCAAACTGGACCAGCTGTACGAGGAGATAGAGAAGGATCTGTTGGTAGGGAAAAAAACAAGCAAGGAAAAATCACTCCTCAGTAAAGTTAATTCTGTAAAACCATAACTGGATTTTTTGTCATTTCAATATTTGTCAAATACGCGGCATGTTGATTATGTGTCTAAATGTGTCTGTCCAGCTGCTTGGAGCAACAGCCATAGAAGACAAGTTACAAGACGGAGTTCCTCAGACTATTGAGCAGCTGTCCAAAGCCGACATTAAAATCTGGGTTTTGACTGGTGACAAGCAAGGTATATAACATAGAATTTAATTTACAACACATCTTATATGTTTTCTTGATGGAGGGATCATGGAAACAAGTCTGAGAAATGTTTGTCTTGTGTTATAATTCAGTATTTATAGTAGTTTTGCTTTTTAATAATTATCAGACTAAATTATTACAACTTGGGTCTGAATTTTGTAAAAAAAAGTTTAAATTAATAAATCCCAAATATAGAGGAACACTGTGTGCACACACCTTTGTTAGGTCAGGTCACAGTTGAACGAGAAAGTGTCTGTAAATTGTTTACCGTTTGCCTTTGTTTCTCTTCCTCATAAGTGTGTTTTGTCTGACTGCTCTTTTGTCTTGCATCTGACTTCTTACCAATGTCCAGTTCCCAGTTTAGTTCCTCCTCGAAACACAGCATCCATTTGGCAATTAAGCATTTATTGAAAGCTTGAAATTATATCTCAGAAACCGACCACAGCACCCCAAATGGTTCACATGTTCCACTGCTATACTTGTGGCCTATTCCACCTTGGCCTGTTTGACACCGAAAGCAGAAATTGACAAAATGACCAAAGGTCAAACGTACTGTCTACTTACTGATGTGGATTATTTGTGTTGCAGAAACTGCAGAAAACATTGGATACTCATGCAACTTACTCCGGGAGGAGATGAACGACGTCTTCATTATCTCGGGAAACTCGCCTGAGGATGTCAGACAGGAACTGAGGTCAGAGGAAGTTTTCAAAAAGCGATTTTAGTTTAGACTGAACATGAGGAACAAACTGATTGTGCATGATTATGTTTGTATGCCTTGATCCATGTTTTATTTTCTTGTGGAGCAGAAATGCACGGACCTCCATGAAACAAGACGCAGTGGAGGATTCGGTGTTCCTGCCAGAACGGACTCTGGGTGTCAGTCCGAAAGTGATCACAGACGAGGTGGCAAATGGAGAGTACGGCCTGGTTATCAACGGACACAGCCTGGTACGCCATAATACGTTTTCTAATTACAATGCACTTGTCTTGGGTATTACTTAAAGTTATATTTTGATATTGCATAAAAAACACATTAAATATCCAAAATATGTAACATTCCTTTATTTTATGTGAAAAATAAATGTTTATGGAAGTCCATCAGATTTGTTAGTCAGTCATGATCAAGTGTACAAAAGTAACCCAAATCGACCTAATGGAGGCATCATTAATGTCTTAATTTCAATCTGTTTTGTTAAGAATTATACCTGATTATTATTATTATTACATTTATTATTATTTTACCACTGCAGTTGCTGACACTGTACAGTTAAGTTGTATTATTTTCAGCTACTGACTAATTCCTGCCTTTTATCACTTTCCTATATTCAGGCATACGCCCTCGAGTGCAGCATGGAGCTGGAGTTCCTGAAGACGGCGTGTATGTGTAAGGCAGTGATCTGCTGCAGGGTCACTCCTCTGCAGAAGGCTCAGGTGGTCGAGCTCGTCAAGAAGTACAAGCAGGCAGTCACACTGGCCATAGGAGATGGGGCCAACGATGTCAGCATGATCAAAGGTATCAGTGGGGCGACAGACAGCTTTATGGGTGGTTAAAGATTAATATGTTTTTCATTCCACGTAGGAAATCTGTATTGGAGGATTAAGAACTAAAACACAATATGTGTGGACGATAGTGTTAATTCTTCCAGACATTTTTCTAACAAGAGTGGCAAACATCCGTTTTCAAGATCCTCAAATGTGAGGATGGTAACAAAAGAAGAAGTTTGGAGAACTGATACTGACCGTTTCTCCTTCCTCTCTTTGTCCACCCAGCGGCCCATATAGGTGTGGGTATCTCAGGTCAGGAGGGTATGCAGGCTGTGCTGTCAAGTGACTACTCTTTTGCCCAGTTCCGCTTCCTACAGCGCCTCCTGCTGGTGCACGGACGCTGGTCCTACCTGCGCATGTGCAAGTTCCTGCGCTACTTCTTCTACAAGAACTTCACCTTCACCTTCGTCCACTTCTGGTACGCCTTCTTCTGCGGCTTCTCTGCACAGGTGAGAGCATGAAGAAAGATTTGTCACATTTGTTTCTTTGATTGTGCCACGGGAAGATGGTGCTCCCATTAGCTCCGACTGGCTGAGCACCTCAAGACACCTATGCTGGAACCAGGTTACAAATCGGCTTTAGTTCAGTTCAATTCAGATCTTAATTGTCCCACAAGAGGAAATTCTTTTTGCTGCTTAAAAACACAAACATAAAGCACTAAATATACACACCGAAAAACACTCAAGAAGACATTAAAGGTGTTGTGTTATGTACATAATTCAGAATAAGAAAAATGAATTGGGTGTGGAATCAAGAGGCAGTTTATAATGTGTTAGAATTAAAAGCATTTATTGCACATAAATAAATCAAAACCTGATGCACCTGTTACTTTCGCAAAGTGAGGGAGTAATATTTAGAAAAAAAAAACAAAAAAACAACCCTGTTACAAATAGAGGTGTATTGTTTTTTAAATGCAAAAAGTTAAAAGAAAATAACTATAATAATAATAACAAGTATTTTTTAAATTAAAAAAATAGTTCATACACCGATGCACAGCATCAGGGGCGATTTGGGGTTCAGTATCTTGCTCAAGGACACTTTGAAATGGAGCAGGAGGAGCCGGTGTCGAACCTCTGAACCTTCTGATTAGTGGATGACCCATTCTACCACCTGAGCCACAGCCACCAGACTATATCTGTCAGAGTAAAGTGAAAATCATCAGAATGTCTTGTATTTTATTTGAGAATTAGGGTTGTAGAAGTGATTAAAAGATTTACTGTTTTTGACTTTCAGACGGTGTATGATGAGTTGTTCATAACACTCTACAATCTGGTGTACACAGCGCTACCGGTACTGGGAATGAGTCTGTTTGATCAGGTAACTAAGTGATGTATGTGTATGTATTTATGTGTTTTTGTGCCAGAGAATGAAGATTATCTTTTATACAAAGAATACAGCTCAACGTGTTTAAGCTGACAGCACAGAAAACATCAACACAGTCACACAGACCTCATGTCTTTGTCTCTCCCTGCTGGTCAGGATGTGAATGACGTGTGGAGTTTCCAGCATCCTCAGCTCTACGTCCCTGGTCAACTCAACCTGTATTTCAGCAAAAAGGCTTTCTTTAAGTGTGCCCTCCACAGCAGCTACAGCTCCATGGTGCTCTTCTTCATCCCCTACGCAGCCATGTGCGACACCGTGAGGGACGACGGGAAGGACGTCGCCGACTACCAGTCCTTCGCCCTCCTCACCCAGACATGTCTGCTGTTTGCCGTCACCATCCAGGTATCCTCCAGCATCCTTTTCTATTTGGATAATCTTGCTTGAATAAAAAGAAAGATATTCATTCAATCATATTATTTTTAAATGTATTTTCTCTCTGTGTCCATAGTTGGGGTTGGAGATGTCTTACTGGACGGCGGTGAACACTTTCTTTGTGTTGGGAAGTCTGGCCATGTACTTTGCTGTAACATTCACCATGTACAGTAACGGCATGTTTCTCATGTTGCCATCAGCCTTCCATTTCATAGGTGAGTGGTGAAGACACGCAGCACTGGGCAGGTGGCTGAAGTTCATTCAAATTCTGTGTACATTTCCACATTCATGTTGGTCATGAAAGCTTTGTTCATTCTTTCATACAAGGCTATAGGTAGGGTAAAGGTGCCAGTATAATTCAAATGAGTTGAATTATACTGCCAAATACAGTGTATGAATTGAGTGCTATGTTTGCACAGGCAAAATATCTGGTTTATAACTAAACCAAATACCTAAACTGCATTCAACTAGGATCACTGTAGTGTGTGCAATAGGCTAACAACACCTTTTTTGGATAGTCTCATTCTTACCAACCAAATTGTTTCTCTACCACAGAGCATAGAAAGCTGTCAGGTACTGACAGTTGTTACTGAATGCTTGGTCAGACTGTACTGACTGTGTTTTATTTACACTCTGTGTGCTCATATGAACACGATGAGTACACTTCAACCGCAGTTTGACACTTTACAGAACACACAAAGTTCAATTCCACTTAAAGTATAGTCACTTACCACTGATAAAACTTTTCTCCTCTAACAGAACTGACTCAGGCCCATCTTCAGTGCAGTGCATATATGATTAAAGTCAATAGAAGATCCTGATATGTGTATAAATACAAACTTTGTGTATATGTGTGTTTGTCCAGGAACAGCCCGAAACTCTCTGAACCAGCCAAACATTTGGCTGACAATCCTCCTCACCTCCATCCTGTGTGTCCTTCCTGTGGTTACCTACCGCTTCCTGTTGATTCAGCTCTGCCCCACCATCAATGACAAGGTACAGATGGAACTATTTTACACTTTACTATGCATGCTTGCTACAGCTGTACTTGTAATACATGAATTGCTTTTAAAGCTAACACCTCTCTTTTTAGACATTGGATTTTTCAATCCCCCTCGTCAGTGTGACCCTTTTGTTTTTCTGTTTTTCGGGTGGTACTAGCTTTCTCTGAAGATATTTGCCCTACATCACCTGAGCAATCACAATTCTTTGGTACAGTAGGTTTATGATAGACAAACATCTGGCTTCTTGTTGACACAGCAGCTCACCGAATGAATCCCAGAGTAAATGTTTGAATAAGTGTGCCTCTATCCAACATTTTAACTTTGTCACTATCTGCCCAAACTTTCAGGTGATGTTCAAGGTAAGACAGGCCAAAGCAACACCTTCCCCTCCACCTCGACGCCCCCGCATTCGCCGCACCAGTTCCCGTCGTTCAGGCTACGCCTTCTCACACGCGCAGGGCTACGGGGACCTGGTTACATCGGGACGGTTCCTACGGCGTCCCGCTGTGTCGCGTTCTTCAGGTTTCACTCATGTGGGTCGCACAACCACGGGCTTCAGTCCCATGGGACGATCGGCTGGATACAGTCCGACAGGACGCCCCCAGAATGCCAAGGTCCCGGATGTGGAGGTGACATCACTGCAGATGTACAGGACTATCAGAGATCCTGCCCTCTGACAGTAAGATGGTGTTTGGAGAAGATCTGGGAGATGGAATAATCCCAACTGGACAGCTGTTTAAAGCTCCCATTTGTTCTTTTGTTACCATGACACACTTGTTCATGCTTTCCAAAGAAGTTCACGTCAAAGATTTTTCATGATCCGTCTGCCCAATCATCCAAGACGAGGTTTGAAAAGTACATGACTTTTGCTCCAAGCATTTTGTTTTGTATTAGTTTATCAAAGGGAACTACAGCTAAATGTGTAGCCACTTCTGATGGGTATACAGATCACTTTCATTAAATTGTGAGGGTTCATGTTAAACATGCCTCATGCAGAGCCAAGAAATGAAAGGTTTGACAAATTAAAATTTTCTGACACTAGAAACAGTAACAGGGTCATTCATTTTCAGATAGAAACTACCACAGAAGGACAAAGTGTCGCCATGTTTACAGACTACCCAGATCGTCTAACCTCTGGGAGATGCACAGCAGCGCTTTGTATAGAGGATATAACCAACAAAGCCATTTTGCATAAGAATATTTTTATTTTGTACTTTAAGTGTCTTTTCAAAGCATTTTATTTTCCTATCTCTAAAGCTGTACAAGCTGTTAGCACTTTGGCAGCATCACGTGTCAACTGCCAACAGACATCTTCACAGTGGTTCTGGGGAAGAGAAGATACAGCAAAAAAAAACAATTTTTGCAGCATCAGCATTGTTGGCCTTTTCCCGCTTTTGTTGGACTTTTTTATAGTATGTTTAAATTTACAAAAAAGGAGAGGGACATTAAAATTACAATTTTCAGTACCACTATGTAACGAGACATACTTTATACTTTACTAAGTTGAAAGTAATATTGGTTAGAAAACAATGAATTATTGATTATTGAAACGAGATAGTAGTACCACACAAAGAAAATAGCTAATAAATAAATTAAGTTTGCAATTGTACAATAAAAGCTAATACATTCTCAATAAAGGAATTTTGGTTTGAAGATCTGCAGCTTTGTAAGTGTTCTATGGATTAGTCTTCCTGTGTGATCACTTAAAGCACCAGTAAGAAGACATCCATCCATCCACCATCTATACCCACTTATCCTTCTTAGGTTCACACACTCCTTGTCTTTTCAATACCTGGCAAGCCAAACATTGTTCTTTCTAATGGCTTATTCCTGATTTGTCTATCCATCAAATATTTATAACGCCATTAGTTATGACTAATGAACTATTTATAAAGAATGTCTCATTAGATAGTGGTACCAAATCTTCTACAGTGCAGCTTAATAGGAGCATGGATGGCATAAAATGTTTCAGGTTTTACTTTGGGTTGTTTTCCAGTTATAGCAACTGAGAGTCAGAGGCCCTGTTTAAGCCGACTGTATTGTACATGCATATAGGCAGGTCATGTCTGGATCCAGTTTGGGTGGATTGTAGCTCAATACGTGCACCAGAATGTGTCTTAAATGACCAATTCAAACCAGTTTTAGCATCTCCCCAAACAATGTGTTTGTTTGAAACTGAAAATAACAAAAGGGAAAAATGCACATTTGACCTCATCAAGCAGCAAGAGAGAGATGAACTGCACCAGCTGTGTAAGAACTAATCTTGAATACAGAATTCAAAATGTTGTTTTCTATAGGAAAATCAACCACATCTACCTGTGTCTGGGAGGTTTGTCGTACTGTAAACACACTACAAAGTTAACTGGGTGATATTTTAACCCATTAAGAAACCCAGGTGGATTCACATGTGTCCACATGTCCTTGAATAGCCAGTTCATGTGCAGTTTTTAGTCGGAGCGCACAGATCGCATTTTAGTGCCAACAGGGCCTAAAAAACACTGCTTAGGCAATTCCCATGGGCTTTTAATTGGGTAATAATAAACTTAATGGTGTTGTACCTCATTTTAAAATCAGTTTTAAAAATATTAAAAATCATGCTTAGTAACTATTTCAAAATCTTGTATTTAGCAACAAACTCACTACTGTATGTCTGACAATCAACTTAGTGGTTAGCAGTATTTCTACAAATTAAAATGAATTAATTCAAAATGCCATGTATCTTAGCTGTCATTTGGCTTTCTCTTTGAATGTTGAATCAGCTTACTGAAAATATGACCTGATGTAATAATTATATTTTAAAAAGAAAGGAAATTCCTATCATGCAACACAATAATGACAGTCATGTGTGTTGGTTCAGTACAACCTGAGGTTTGTGGGATCAATCTTAATTTATTATGGTGTGTGAAGCTTTAAAGAATAGTCCAAATGGAATTGTTTTCATAATTGCACAAAGATTCATAAATGTTTCATCCACAGCTGAATTTGAACCAATGAGACTGCTGATGGATGCCTTTGATGTCATAAACTTGTTGAAGCAACTGTAGTGTTTGTATCTGAACATCTGTTATCACAGTGTGAGTCAGTTGGTTGTTGAATTGAATGTAGTAACCCCTAACTCTGCTGGTGAACCAAAGAATTTTTCAAAGTGTTGTCCGTCATAACTGTTGCTCATCAAACCAAATCTGATGCTGGAGGTCAGTGTGGTGAAGCTGGTTTGCACCACTGACAGCAGTAAAGTGTTCTTAATGGAAATATTTCAAGGTTTGAATATGCAGAAGAAACATTTATTGCTTGTTTGTAAAATGTTTGCTTTTTTTTTTTTTTTATTAATCTGGTTTCATTCTGTCTTTTCACTGTTTAAAGAAATGGTCTGGTAGCTAGTCCTGTTTTGTGTCAGATGTTATCAGTTTCATTGTATTGGGGCCCATTTGACAAAAGCAATTTGCGAGGACTGCTTACACACAGATCACAGAACTTGAGCTCCTGTTGCAAAATTTGTGAAGTTAGCCCCAATATCACATTCAGCAGAGTCGGTCTGCAGTGTTAATGCAGAATAAATTAATTGAAAATGCACTGTCCACTAATGTATTGCAAGTCTTTTTATAGCATTTCTGTGGTACTGCCCAAAATAGCCATAATGAATACTTTAAATATTTATCAGTATATTACTAATATTATATCATGAAGACTGAAACTGTAACAACATAAGGAATTTTTGATAACTATTTCTCAAATATGACAAAAGAAATCTATTGATTATCACTTCTCTTTCTGATGATATACATTTTGTATAATTTTGTACTTTAAAACATTTTTACTGCAATAAAAAGATCTAAAAGCTAAATATGTCTCATCTGTGCATCTTCTCATTCATAACGTGCAATTCTCTAAAACAAAAAATATCAATTTGACTTCTGGGTTTGATAAATGTCTGGTGGCATTAACACTGAGGCGTTTTTAAACAATATTGGTGATTTATGGAGCTCCAGTGGCATATTTATATTTCAGTAATGATGTAAACCTATTTGGTACCTCCACACGCCATATTTTCTCCACAAAAGCTCAGTAGGACAGACACTGCACAGGACTACATTGGACTTAGTAAAAGCTATCTGAATGTGCTTTATACTGCAGCATAATAGCTCTGCTTTTAAAAAATGTAATCTGCACCAACCAATCTGTTTCCTTTCATAGATCTCTATAACATTTTATACAGAGTTACTTTGTATGGTGTCTGTAAAGAGAGGGTCAGTGTGGACCCACTGGTGAATGAAGCTGTGGACAAGATTTAACCTCTCTTCATCTGCAGTGTAAATAAACTAAAATGAAAGTCGAGCAGCACTTTACGGTTTATGGTTAACCTGCGAAATGTTGCTAAATAAACAGGTGTAAAATGAGAAGCTGCTGTATATCTCTTCAATCTTTCAAGTATCAGGACATAGGTCTCCATTCTCTCATAACCCATCCATGTGTTTACTCTAGCAGTTGGAAAGAGGAACAAATGTGAAGTAATATTGCTTTGTGCTTTGTTCTTAGAGAAATGAATCATATAAAGAGCTACTAAAGTAAAAAGAAAGTAATTAAATATGAATTTAGACATTATTTAATAGCAGTTTTCAAGATGAGGTAAGATCTATCCTATACAAAAAGGACAGAAGATTAAATACTGTACTTTACATTGTATACATTAGCAACTATGATGTTTATTTATAAAGCATAATCTTTGTCTAATAAAATGCAGAGCAAGATGCTGCTGATAAATGCTGTTTTACATGTGTGCAGCTCATCACCAGCAGATGGTGTGATAATCCTTTACACCACAGCAGTATTGTCAGTGCCAAACCACATAACACCAGCCTGATGTTTCCACTTATTGTGTAATACTGAAAGAATCTCATTGTGTTGGAACACAGCAACTGTGGAGATTTATCATAGTTCAAACAGTACATGTCCCATTTATTATTTACATACATACACAAGCAGTAATAGGTGCAGTGCATACTACAATATAATTTATGAGATTACGCTGTGCTGATCATGACACTTACAGTGGTAGAGGTTGTTTATTATGTTGTGACTGAAACTGAGCATCATATATTACTAGAAAGCTCTGACTATGTTCAATCTTAGGACCAATGGAGCTCATTTGTGACCATAAAGAAGGTTAAAATGAAAGGTGATCTTGACAGAGACTAAGACATTGCATCTCACAGTTTATTTATAAAGCACAAAGAGAAATCATGACAAGTGATAGGGAAGGGACCATTGACTGAGTATATATGGATGAGACAGGGAAGAAGATCACCAAAGCTATTCAGTTTATCTAGAGGCATTATTTTATGCACCAAATTTTCGGCAGTACATCTAATATTGTAGCGGAGATATTTCGCAGGATGAGGGAAAACTTTGACCTCCTGGTGGAGCTAGAGGAAGAGGCACAACGAGTCCTCTGGGAACCATAAAGCTCTGTGCAAAATTTCATGCCACTGCATCGAATAGTTGTTGACATATTTCTTTCTGGACCAAATGGTGGACCGACCAACACACCCAATACCATATTGATACCATCTATCGCGTTGGTTATGAGCCATATCTGTGGTGGCAGTAATCATTTCATTTGCCTCCTCTTCAGCTGGTGGGAGTGAGTTCTGCTGATTTCTTGTGCAAGTGCAAAATGATGTAGTTCAGCTCCTCCACTAAAGCAGATGGACAAATTATTCCAACTCTAAAAGCTAAAAGCTCTGTGTGAATGTCAACACCACAGCCCCTTAAGAGCAGAGTGTGCCTACTCCCTTCTACTGACACTAATATTGGAATTAAAACAGTTATGTCATTTCAAGGTGTGAAGGTCTCTGTTGCACTGTATATGCTTTACAACATTTCAGAGGAAAGTATTGTACTTTTCACTCCACAACAATTCACTTTACACATCAAGGTTTTACATACAAAGCTAATGAAGAGCTCATAAAATACGACACATTGTAATAGATTAAAGGTGCAGTGTGTAACAGTTAGTTCTATTGGCAGAAATGGAAGATAATATTCATAATTATGTTTTCATTAGTGTATAATCACCTGGATATAGGAATCACTGTGTTTTTGTCGTTAGAATGAGCTGTTTTTATCTACAGACGCAGCTAGTCACCTTCCTTGGAGTCTGCCATGTTGAACCGCCATGTTTCTATGGTAGCCCAGAACGGACAAATCACTGACTGTAGATAAGGCCTTTTGTGTATTTTGCGATTGTTGCAGTCATCATAGTCTCTCCTACGCACTTCGCAGCCCGTTCTCATTGCCAGGTCGTCATATTAGAACATTTTGGGATATTTTACAGACTAAATGATCTTAAAAATAATTGACAGAATAATCAGTGATCAAAGGAAGTATAGCTGCAGCTCTAGCCACCATAGATCTCATATCTTTACAATGTGCCATCTGAAGGGGAGCAGACCAGATCAGATATGATGGTTGCACCATTTTACACTTCACCTTGACTGAGCATGTACAATACAAATCAAAGTCATAATGAGTCTCAGAGAGTGGAAGGTCAGCAGGGGCCTCTTGCTCTAATTTGTAAAATGTGTTTCTCAGTAAATTGACCAACCTGCTTCTTTTCCAGTGCATGCTGGGATAGGCTCCAGCCCCCTGCAGCCCTTGAAGAAAAATGGCACAATAGATAAATGGATTGATGGTTTATCTGTAAATCGTTTATTCTCGCACTCTGAGATCATGGGGATAATATTGATCCAAACTATCATCATGTTTAGTCCCAGAAAGAGAAACCTGGAGGCTTTTTTGGAGACTTTTAAACTAGATGCCCTCTTTACTGTTTTAAAGTTTAGTTTAAAAGTAAAGTTGCCTTTTACATTACTCTAATGTTAGAAAGCCTATGGTAAAACAAATCTAAAATCAGTTATTGAAAAGCAAACATAATCTCTTCAAAGGAGTTTTATCAACAAAATAGATACTTTGTATTTAAATGTTGTAAAAAAGGTTTTTTACATTTCATAATGTATTATATCTTTACTTAGACTGGTTGCATGTCTCTCTGTAATTCAATCAAACAATAAAGATGAACCTCAATTCTTTACATTTATAGGACCAGAAAAGTGTAGAAAAACAATAAAAACTTGACAACATAGTGACCTATTTACATTGCCATGTGTCTAACACTGGTCTTGCGATCATCTCAAATCTAATAAGGCTATCATTTCCATTTAAACTATTAATATAGTTTACAGTAGTCTACTGCTGTAACGTGTAAATGTATTAAAAAAGCAAACAAATCGGCTTAATTAGACAGTTTTGCTTTGTGGATATGATCTTTCTAAAAACATAAAATAAACAAATGCATTACAATTAACATTTCAATGCCCAAAACACGTCTGGTACACACAAATTCTCTGCTGAACTGTGATTACAATAAAAGTGAAAGCTTTGCTGCCCTCCTGCGAGCGCAACACACACACACCGGTGTGGCATTTACTGCACGCACACATACGGTAATTTACGCTTCCTCTCTAAAACGACCGTTTTGCTAACATTTCTGAAGACAAACAGACGACAGTTTTAATACGAAAGGACACAGTGTTTCAATTTGTTTAGTATACAGTGTAACGTAATCTATCCGAGCCGCGTGCTCTACCCGAGTCAAGTCGCTCTGACGTTTAATCCCAAAATTCCTATATAACTTGAACGCAGCAGCAGGACCAGACTGCCTTACATTGTTAACGTTGATTTCTCCCGTTCAAGCCAGCATTTTGTCTTCCGTGAGTCAAACCGGGGTCACAGGCTCCCACAAAACGCATGAAATCTCGGCTACAGTTGGCAGCGGGACCCGCACCGGCAGACTGTAAGATACTTCACAGTGTATTCATACAATTTGACTCAGTTTTAAGGAGCAAGAGAGAGGCAGTAAACGCGTTAATGTTCACGACTGTGAATATTTCATACTGCAGGGGAATATAGTGGGGCGAGTCAGGGCTTTTCATTCATGGGGCAAGAAAGCTTAACGGTTTGGCTTTTAAATGAGGTTTTACAGGTAGGGTTGTGACTTTTTAATACGGAGTCAAACTGGGTTAAAACACCTGTCCGGGTGAACCTCAGGTCCCTTTATTTAAAGGAGATAGGCTCGCGATATGACCACTCAGCAGTCATTTTTCTTGCTGGACTGAAAGGAGGAGGAGGAGGAGGAGGCTCGCGTGTTTCCCATGGCTACACCAAGCTTTCACTGGGGTTTATTTGCATTCCTAACCAGCCGGCGGTGACATGGTGAATGGTTATATTACTATTATCTTTAAAGAACAAACAGACTGGCAGCTGTTATAAGCCCAGTAATTCAAACGCGTGTCCGGATACATGAGCGGAGATAGTGGGGGGGGTGGTAGGGGGGGTGACGTCGCCCTGGAGGTGCAGGTTCATTGCTCAGTCAGTGTGGTCTCCTTTTGTTGACTGAACGCCCACCTCTCTCCCCACAACTGCAGTCAGGTTTTCACACAGTCAGGTCTAATGGTTGCGTTGTTTTATTTTTTTTTGTGTCCACTTGGAAGCTCTAACATGAGGAGGATTGCTGGCTGTAACCCTGCCCAGACCGGAGGCTGCTGGTAGGGATGGTGCCGCTGTGAAGAGCCCCGGTGTGCCGTTTTCGGAGGACATGCCTGTGGTCGGGGGGAAAGGGAGGAAGTGCCTGGACAACATGACTGTTTTCAACCAGGAAAATGTTGAGGAATTTTATGAGATTGGAGACGAGCTAGGGAGGTAAGTTTGACTGAGATCCAATCCTTCATTCCTAATGCGTATGAACTTCCCCTTTCCGTGGTAGAGGTGTGAGAGGGAGGGGGTTGGGGGGGGGGGGGGGAGATACTTTATTTTCATTTCTAAATGTAGATGATCTTCACGTTTAGGTGCAGCATTTCAACCCATCTGTCCACATTGTTCCTATGTTTGTCTTAAATGTGTGCATGCATGCCATGCTGCACCCACAGCTCTGCGTACAGATGGGTTTAGTCCATAAACACAAACACTAATGCACTCTCTTATTCAAGCAACGCATACGATGCTTGTGAGTAGTCTGCAGGACATGCATCCCCCCACTGTGAGTGCACCTGATAGGCTTTGATTAATGCAGTCCATAATGCATTGCTGTCAGTGATGAAGAGGTTAGCGTCTGTTACTGTAGCTGGAGATTTACTGCAGGAGGGGGCTGACGGTGTCTTTACAGGGGGGAGGATTTACATCATGTCATAGCCTG